GTCCTCTTCAGGTCTTACAGACTCCCCCTTCTTTCATATGATTCCCTGCACTCTTCCCAAGGTTGGTTATGAGTCTCAGCATCTGCTTTGACATACTGCTGGGTAGAGTCTTTCAGAGGCCCTCTATAGTAGGCCCCTGTCTTGTTTCTTGTTTTCTCCTACTTCCAATGTCCATTCCATTTGTCTTTCTGAGTGAAGATTTATCATCTTACCCCAGTTCCTCCTTCTTGTTTAGCTTCTTTAGGTGTAAAAATTTTAGTATGTTTATCCTATCTAATAGGTCTAGTATCCACTTATGAGTGAATATATACCATGTGTGCCTTTCTGCTTCTGGGATACCTCACTCAAGATGATCTTTTCTAGATCCCACCATTTGCCCGCAAATTTCATAATTTCCTTGTTTTTAATTGCTGAGTAGTGTAGATGAACCATTGTGTATATGAACCACAATTTCTGTATGCATTCCTCCATTGAGGGACGTCTGGGTTCTGCAGGGACCTGGGCAGAGCTGTAGATGGTGATGGAGACGTAAGCCAGGTAGATGGAGGATCTTCCTTGGAATTCCTCACCCTCATTTTTGCCTGGAATTTTGAGGCCCTAAGGCTGTTCATTGTCCTATAGTGATAGGGACCAAGTGATAATAAGAGAGGCAATGCTAGAGTCCAGCGGTGTGTGTAGAATTGATGAAGACTGACAGATGATATGGCAACAAAGGATGTGCAGGCTTTAAGTACCTTGATATGGTCCCAAGCGCCCCCCCCTCTGCAATTTAAGCCTCAGAGGAAGCCAAAATAGGCTAAGATAAGTACAGAGCAGACACCCCTTTCCAAGGACCTGAGAAGGGCAGCATTCTCCCTTCCCATGGGGTTTAGCTTTAACAGAAGCAAAGAACTAGAAAGATGAACAGCTTTCATCCCAGCAGACACAGTCACACTCAAGGACATAGTTAACTTATTAGCTAAAGCAACATTTTAAAGATGAAGACCATTGGGACCTGACACAGTGTGGTCCTGGTCTGGCAGAACCAGACCTAGAACTTGTGATAAATGCAGAAGCATAGGCGGGCATTGCGGTGCATACCTTTAATCCCAGCACTTTGGGGAGCAGAAGCAGGTGGATTTCTGTGAGTTCAAGATAAGTCTGGTCTACATGAATTTTAGCACACCTAGAGCTACATAGTAAGAACCTATCTCATTAAAGAGAGAAGGTGGGAAGAAAGAAAAAGAAAAAGAGAAAGAAAGAAAGAAAGAAAGAAAGAAAGAAAGAAAGAAAGAAAGAAAGAAAGAAAGAAAGAGACAGAGAGAGAGCAAACAAAAAAGAAATCAAAGAAATGCAGACTCTTGCCCTAGCATTGCTGAAGTAGAAAGGTGGGGCATCCGTGCCTGCCACCATCCAGAGGACTCTGTATGCTCAGACTGCAGAACCACGCATGTAACTTGAGGCTTTCCACTAGTCCACTCATTACAGCTAGCCATATCCAAGTAGCCTCCAAGTCTCCTTATGTGTGCCTCCCAGACCCAGAGACTTGATGCATTGGCTGGGTGGCCTGGGCTCTGAAGAGTAGTGCCAGCATGTTCAGGAAGCTGAGTCTTCTTCTGTCATGGTGGAGCATGACCCTCAAGGACATCAGAGAGCAAGGCACCTGCATTTTCTCCCAGTGATGGACTGAAAGTATTTGTATAGCTTGTTGAGTGCTTGCACCCAACACACACACACTCCAGTTTGGCCCTTTTCTTCCCTCGAAGTGCTCTTCTGTCGCCTCTCTTACCTTCTCCCATACGTTGATTGTCTTTGTGTACTTCTTAAGCAGAGCTTGTACATCCTCACCTGTATTATATTCCAGAGAGGTGGGAGTCCCTCTAAATAGATGACCATTTATAGATATGAATATGGTCTGCAAAAATTAATCACTGTGGTCTACAAAAATGGCTCAGTGTTTTAAGAACACTTGTTAATCTTTCAGATAACCCAGGTTTGGTTCTCAGTCCCTACAACATATCCCATAACTGTTTGTAACTCCAATCGCAGGAAATCTAATGCTTTCTTCTGGCTGCTACACGTACCAGACATTCACCTGTTGCACAGGCATACAGGCAAGAAAACCACCCATACACATTAAATAAATAAGCATTTAAATAGAATTACCAATGATCAGTAGTGCCTGGGAATAAAGAAACAAGAGAACTAGCCTTAGCTCATAAAGAGCCCTAGGTTCTAGCAAATGAAGTATTACTGACAACTGTGATTCATTCAGCTGCTAATCTCTCTCTCTCTTTCTCTCTCTCTCTCTCTCTCTCTCTCTCTCTCTCTCTGTGTGTGTGTGTGTGTTTTATATTGGAATGGAATCTTGAATCATACTGCTACTATGAGCCTGAATACTATTTAGGAAAATGAAAGTAATAGAAGCTCTTTTGTGACTTAAGCTAAAATATCTTTCTGTCATTAAACTACCGTCAAGAGCTATTTCTTTCATATAAAGTGTTAGTACAGCAATAAAAAGAAAAACCAAGAAAAAAAACTTCTGGTCAAGAAAACAGAATCTCTGGTCTGTGTGGAGACCTAACATTCCAGTTGGGCTGACTCAATCACCTGGCCACAGAAGCACCCTAGAAAGATGGGTACACTTTAAGTCATGCTAAAATCATACATGAAATAGTTTTTCTTTTAAAGAGATACTGTGCCTATCCTGATCCCCATTAGTCCCTGTGGAGCCCCTAAAATGTTCCACTGGTCTGCTTGCTTTTCTGAGGTCTAAGTCAACGAAACACATTTTTTTTTTCTGTTTCTTTCTTTCAGATGCTGGCCAGAACCTAAGTATGCTTTTTCTTCTATTTTGGGCTTCCTTACTTTTTCTCTGAAGCCTCCTTCTTCACCACGTGACTGCTCGTCCCTGATCTCCAAATAAGCTTACACTTTTAGCAATCTCAGCCTATGGTTGCTGCTCAGCCTATAGTTCTGGGCATTTGGTGTACTATGACAAAGAAGTATATCCTGGAACAAAGCTGATCCCCTCCTGGAGGGAAGCACAGATGTATATGGGCAAAATTATCCTCCTTCTGCATTTACTTCCTTTACTCACTGTTGGTGTTTGTAGTCATTTATTTTTCCTGGTCAACTTTAAAACAGTGTGTGCACTAGGTCTTTAATCACACCCGGATTGATACTGCAGCATTACCTGGAGTTCTTCAGGACAGATGTTCATGCATATGGAAAAAGATATTTTTTTTATGATGCAGGCCTGGAACCGTAGGACTGGCGGGTGTGAAACCTTCATAGGGGGACACAGATGCAGGAAAGGCAACACAGCAACCTCGAGTCTGAAGTTCATCTCTTAGACCTTCAGCTGACTAAAATAAAATGAACTCATGTTAGAAAGAATGTTGTGCTCTGAATTTGGAACTTCTTCCAAAACCTCGTACGTTGAAAGTGTTGTCATGGCCCATGACACAATTGAGAGGGAGGGGAGCTTTCATGAAGTGGGACATTGTAGAAGGAGGTTGTGCCACTGGGGACGTTAGGACACATGCTCTTTCCGTGGCCTCTCTTTATATCCTCTCCCCGACCATCCCTCATGTCTGGAGTGAATAAACCTCTGCCATATGCTTCACACCATGAGGTTGGCTCCACTTCATCACCGGCCCAGATGTCACTGAAGTCTCTGAAATCATGAGCCAAAGTAAATCTTTCCTCTTATAAATTGCTTTCCTAGGCTATTTTGTCACAGTCATTGAAAAAAAAAAAAAGCAAGCAATTGGTATTTTAAAATGCAGCAGCTTTATTTGTAATAGCCAGAAGTTGGAAACAACCCAGATCTCCCTCAGCTGAAGAATGGATACAGGAATTGTGGTACATCTACACAATGGAATATTACTTAGCAATAAAGACAAGGAAATCACAAAATTTGCAGGTAAATAGGGTGAACTGGAAAGGATCTTCCTGAGTGAGCTGTCCCAGAAGCACAAAAACACACATGGTATATACTCACTCATATAGACATATAATATTGGATAAACCTACTAAAATCTGTACACCTAAAGAAACTAATCAAGAGGGAGGACTCAGACTAAAATGCTCAATCCCCATCCCGAAAGGCAAAGAGGATGGACATCAGAAGAAGAAGAAAACAGGAAACAACCTAGGAACCCACCACAGAGGGCCTCTGAAAGGCTCTGCCCTGCAGACTATCAATGCAGATGCTAAGACTTATGGCCAACTGTTCGGCAGAGTGCATGGAATCTTATGAAAGAAGTGGGGAATAGTAAGATCTGGAGAGGACAGGAACTCCACAAGGAGAGCAACAGAAGCAGAAAATTTGAACACAGGGGTTTTCCCAGAGACTCATACTTCAACCAAGTACCATGCATGGAGATAAACTAGAATCTCTGCACAGATGTAGCCCATGGCAGTTTAGTGTCCAAGTGGGTTCCATAGTAATGGGAAGAGGGACTGCCTCTGACATAAACTGATTGGCCTGCTCTCTGATCACCTCCCCCTGAGGGGGGAGCAGCCTTACCAGGCCACAGAGATAACAATGCAGCCACTCCTGATGAGATCTGATAGACTAAGATCAGAAGGAAGGAGAGGAGGACCTCCCCTATCAGTGGACTTGGGAGGGGCATGCATGCAGAAAGGGGAGGAAGGGTGGGATCGGGAGGGGAGGAGGGAGGGGCTTATAGGGGAATACAAAGTGAATAAAGTGTAACTAATTAAAAAAATATATCTTATGGAAAAAAAAATGGTGGCTATCATGGCTGCAACTATACCCAAAGATGTGGTCCAGAAGCCTTTGAAGGTTTGCAGGAGGGACTGGAAACAGTTAGAAATCCAGACTGAAAAAGGTCTATCTGTCAGTGGAGAATGGGCAATTCTAATGCCGGCATAGAAAGCCAGTTTGCTGGTAGGAACTATTGGGAGTGGAGGTAACACACCTTTCTCTTTATGCTATAGTTTTTAAAAAGTGTTTGGTGGATCCCTCGCGCGCCTGCACTGCGGAGGGCAAGATGGCGTCGCTAGCTCCCCTGAAGGAGAAGAAGCTCATGGAGGTGCAACTGGCCGAGCTGCCCCGCTGGCTGCTCGCGCAGGATTTCAGCCCCAGCAGCATCGCGGGCGCCTTCGGGAGAGGCTCTGAGCGCTACCACAGCAAGTACATCAACGTGCGGAAGGGCAGCGTGTCGGGCATCACCATGGTGCTGGCGGCCTACGTGCTCTTCAGCTACGGCCTGGCCTACAAGGAGCTCAAACACGAGAGCTGGCGGAAGTACCACTGAAGAGGGCACCGCACGCCGGACATGGATGCCCACCCACCGGAGCGCCTGGCCGCGAGCCGGGGCAGCGCCCAATAAATGCCCACTGACCCACCCCGCAAAAGAAAAAAAAAAAGTGTTTGGTGTTTGTTTGGTTTGATTTGTTTTGTTGTTTTTTGTTTGTTTGTTTCTTGTGCTCAACGGTTTGTGTGCGGTTGAGGTTAAAGATGATGCGCTGGCTCATCTATCTACCACATGAAGTTTTAAGGCAGCGTAACAATCAGGCATGAGTATTGCTGGCTGGGTTTTGCTCAGCTTACAGAAAGATTTTGGAGCAAAAGGCAGAAAGAAAACTTTTGAAAAATAGCCCCACCCACAAAAAAGAGGCTATCTAAAGTTCTTTCCTTGAAAACTAAGGCTACTAAGGGGATTAGCACCATCAAAAAGAAGCCAAATACTTTGCACCAGGACAATGTGAAAGAGAGTAGACAGCATCTCAGAGCAGCAGAATTCCCCTTGTAAGCGCTCAGTGCTCTGGATTAAGTAGGGAGCTGCTCACAGAACACCTTTGGAGAATTCTCCCCTCCAGATCCCTGTCTCCACCCACAGCTCTTGTGTCCCTCGGGGGTTTCTTGCAGCCATGATCCAAGAACGATCCACTACTCCTCAACATTTTGGCAATTCTTGACTTGAACTGCATGGTTTTTGTTTCTTCAGTCATGCTGATGAAGGACCAGTAGGGTCACAGAAGCTTACCCAAAGATTTAAAAAGAAATACTGGGAGACCAAGCAATCTTTCAGGACTTGAGTCCCTGAAAACAGTCCCAAACAAGTTCATGCAAGCATAAAGCTACACAAATGAAGCCCAAACTTCACTGGAGACCCAGGGTGCCAGAAGCATGCAACATCTGCCAAGAAAATCTGCAGCAGCCAGCTCAGCCAGTCCAAAAGAAATGTCATTTGAGTGGAAGCCAAAAAGGCTCTCGCATAGGGGAGTCCCAAGCACTTGAAGACCCGCAACCCACCATCATGCCCCTGATGCATAGCACAGAGCTACAGAATTTTTGTCTGCCCTGCTAGGTTTGGGTATTTCTTTGTCCAATTGCTTCTTGTTTCTTTTTTTATATTACTTCCTCTGATAATGGAGTGTTGCCCTCTGATGTGTATGCTGGAAGTATAAAAATGGCCTTTGGACTGAGCAAGGGCTGACAGCTACCCATTTACCTTCAGCCTCAGAGGGCGCTGGAATGTTTCAGCAGTGCTGTAACTGTTTAGCAACTTCAGACTCCAAAAGGTAGGCGTTCTGAAATGGACATGGATCCTGGGGAAGCAGAGATGGAAAGTTACTCTTTTCCCCTTAAGTAGCCCCGGAAGCTATGGCTTGTAAGCTTTGTCAGCAGTCTGGAACTACTGGGAAGACCTAGGCAGAAGACGGTCAGGCCACTGAAGCATGCCCTTGAAGTATGTCTTGGGACCCCATCCCCTTCTCTCTTTTCTTCACTTCCTGGCTACCACAAAATAATCAGCTTTATTCTAGCATGTACTTCTTTGCCATCTGCCCAGAACTTTGGGACCAAAAAACCATGAGCTGAAATCTCTAAAACCATCAGCCAAAATAAATCTTTCCTTATGTATTTGCACTCTGTCATCATGCTGAAAATCGAGAAGCTAATCTGCCTAACTCAATGTCTGCTACTTTTTTATCTCTGAGACAGGCTTTCCTTGAATTCACTAGATATCTAAGGCTGACCTTGAACTCCTGGTCTGTCTGCCTGACAAAGCCTACTGACCTAAATTATAATTGTATGTAAAAATTACTTTCATAGCAATACCTAGATAGGCATTTAGCCAGTCACTAGGTATAATTTTGTCTAGCTAAGTCATCGTAAAATTAACTATCACAAGAGCCAAGCATTTTACTTAGCATTACTGAATTGCAATTGATATTTATTCTACTTTTTATGTCATTTAAAAAGTGTTTATATTTTACCTTTGTTGATCAACAGCTTCTCTTTATTTTTTAAATAAAATTTATTTTTACTGAATAAATCTTATCATTATTTGAATGTAACATTTTATTTTTTTTCAAGTGTATCCATTGGCACTGGTGACATATAAGAAAATGACAGGTCAAAATGGGCAAAGTTGTGGCTCATAAGTACTATCCATATCCAGATAGGGTGAGGCGGCAGCTGCCCATTGTAGGGTTCAGGCTCCCAGCAAGCTCAGGACTGTGGCTTTTCTGGCTTGCTGCAAGCCAAAGGTTGAATGACACGGGCCTTTTATTATTTCATATATCATTGTTCTTACCTTGATGTAATTTGAAAAAAAAAAACAAAACAAAACAAAACAACTGTTTCTTGAGTGTATCTCTCCATAAAAACATTGGAAAATAAAAGGCTGAAAGAATAAGTTTTGAAAGAAGAATGACTGCTCTGGGAAAAACTGTCCAAATTAAAATATGCAACTTTAAGTTGGCATTGTTTTTTATTTTAATGTGTTTGTATATTGACTTATTTTGAGTCAGTGTTTTGATAGGTAGTCCAGGCTAGCCTCAAACTCATAATTCTCTTCTCTTAGCATCCCCAGCACTGGGATTACCATCTCAATTTTTTTTAGATAACTTATTAACTTTTTTTAAATATACATTGTAATTTATTATCTTTTAAATATATATTTTTAAATAAGTTATTTATCTGAAGTTGACAGGCGCTCTACAAGAAGGCCAACAGACACAACTAACTAGGGCCCAAGGGAGCTTGCTGAGACTGAAGCATCAACCGAGAACCATGAACAAACTGGACCCAGGCCCCCTACAAAGTTGCAGCAGATGGCTAGCTCAAGCCTCATGTGGGTCCTGTAGTGAGGGAAGTGGGGGCTGTATCAGACACAGACTCCCTTGCCAGCTTTTTGATCACTTTTCTCTGGCGATACTGCCTTGCCAGGCCACAGGGGAAGAGGATATGCTCCGTCCTGATGCAACTTGATGAGTTGGGCTGGATGGGAAAGGAGGCTCCAAGAGGGAGGGAGAAAGAAGTAGAGTAGGACTGGGAGGGCAGGAGGGATGGAGCTACAACAAGGATGTAAAGTGAACACAATAAATAAATAAATAAATAAATAAATAAATAAATAAATAAATAAATAAATAGATGAATAAATGAATAAATAAATAGAATAAAATAAAGTTATTTAATTCTTGATAAATTGAAATTAAAAGGCCAGAGTTTTGATTTTGCAACTTGAATAAGATAGTTGTGCTGCAGTAAAATGAAACCGAATGTTAAACAGATTAGAAAAGGGCTGAGCATCAAATCATTTTTTAGATGAGTTTACATGAAAATGCTTATTCAGCCTGTACTCCTCTAACAAGGATTTACAAGCCTAAGCCTAATGCAAGCACTGCTTCTCTGTAACACAGGTTGATAATTCTCTGCCAAAAATGAAAGGAGTAGAAACCATGATAAAGACTGCATCTCCCAGGATTCACTACAACAGTGGTAGCATGTGATTAAATTAACCACACCAAAAAAAAGTGTCTGGAATGGGAGTCAGAAGGAGGGTTATTAATGCTGTATTGCTTCTTAAGTGCTTGCACTGAGCTGCAGCAGTTTCTCTTTCTACACGCGAAATCCTAGAACGCTACTTTAAACATGGAGATAAGTTAAATCCCCAAGAAATGGTACAACAACAAAAGTAGCTTGAGTTTTCGAATGAGTGCCTAAAGCAGAGAACCTTAGCCAATCAAGACTGAGCTTACTATAAAGCTATTTTTGTGATTGAAATAATCTATGTGAGCCACTGTGTTGTAGAAGCTTAAGTTTTACCTGAATATTCTTAATGTGTAAAAAATGTGACTGAGAATTTACTAAACAAAGCCTAAAACTTTAAATCTTTCCTGGCTTTTTTTTTTTTTTTTGTACTGACTGAAAACACACAAAGAGGCATTAGCTGTATTAATTTATGAAGTCAATGAGAAGTCTCATGTTTCTTAAGCAATTCTGGACACAGTGTCCATTCCATAAAACTTTCCTAAGTTGATATATGTCTAAGAGCGTTAAACCAACTTACCAAAAATGGAAATCTGCCTGCCAGTGGTAGTCCTTCCTTTCTGGATGCTGACATGTACACTGTCAGGAAATCTATATCAAGTTAGCAACTTTTTATTCTAAATGCTGCTGATCTATCCTAGCAAACACTGTGAGCAAAACAATTAGAAGGGAAGCATAGTGTGGAAACGGAGTAATTAACACCACAGTGCAGACAGGTCAGGTAGCCCAGCCCTCAAACAGAGGTTCTGATGTTGTCCTTGGTGATTTTGATGCGCCTTATAGTGATCTGCTATTTCATATAAAGAGACATGACTTACCGGTATAATGGAAATGAGTTGACTAGTTAAGTCATCCAAGGAAAATGTCCAACCTGGGCTCACAGAAACTCAATCACTGACTTGGCCCTGGCTTTGACAGACAATCCTACCATTCTGAAAACACTCCATAAGGAAGACAGGTAGTTATTTGGTACATTCAAACAGGATAAAATTGGATCTGGCTCACTCTTCTGTATCATAATCAGCTCCCAGAAAAGAAGATTTACCAGCAGGAAGTACATTTTCTAAACAGAGCAATCTAAGACTGAATTCAAAGCAGATTCTTCCTAATAACCAACAAAATGCACTTGCTATATGCTCTATGGACTATGTTCATTCAAAGAAGTTGACATACATAAGGTAATTTGTTCTCCCTCCGATGTAGATAATACTGTCATCTCTTTGCTGATGAAGAAGTGAAGGACACAGAGGGTAAGAAATTAGCCTGAGGTCATTGGGATCCAAGCAGACAGGCTAGCTACAGACTCAGTACTCTTAACTTTTAAGCCATATAATCTACACAGTCCATGTGTTTAGACCTCACACTTTCATAAAAATAAACAATGACATTTGCTTTATCTTTATCAGAAAAAAGACAGTGAACTGCAGAGTGAGTTTCGGAGCTAAGTGCAATAATTTACATCAACAATTATCCACC